TTTATCAAGGTCACCTTGGGTAACCATCTTTTATAAAGCCAGTGTGCATTTAAAGGAGAATTAGAACAGTAGCACACCAGGGACTCCATTGTTCTGGTAGGTTATTTCATGCAGACAATTTTCCGTTTCCAAACAGGTTGTACCCCAAGGGCTGTTCTTAAGACTATTGGATTTTTAGTGCAGGTGACCGTATACGTATGACCTCTAACGACCTTCTTTGCTTGCAGACAGCGCCGACTCACTTTGCTCTGGAATGCATCTCTGTTGTCAGCCACCGAAGTTTCAGAATTTGAAAGTTAGGTCGAAGAACTTCTGTACAAGTGTCGGGCGTGACCACAAAGTGGCGGGGAAAGGAAGCAGGGATTAAGGACAGAGATGGAGATTTTGAGTTTTCCTGGCACTTCTCACCACTGCATTGGTAGGCCACCTGTATGTCTAAAAGTAATCTTGGGCCTCTGTTGCACCCCAAATCACAGGAAAGACAGAAAAGATGGTTCCTAAGCCACCATAGGGGTCTACTGAGGAAGTGTAAGATTTTCATCCCCACTCCTACCCACCCCCCCATATACACCCAGGGAGGAGATCTACTTCCCTTCTCTTTCTCCAAATTGCAAAAACGCCAGGGCCGGAAGTGCCGAGGGCTGGGACACTCAGTAACAGATGGACTCAGCTAACAAGCCCTCTCGCTGACATTTGGAAGGAAAAATCGTTTACCTTTCAAGCCTTAATGATCTTTGATCATTTCTTCTCAGTTCATGTCTTAAAAACATGATACATCATACAGGTTATAAGATGTAAACTGGAAATAAGAAACCTTGCATAAATAATGTTCATTATATTTTTTTATTTTTAAAAATTTGTTTAAGTCTATTTTGAGACAGATGGGGACAGCACAAGTGGGGGAGGGGCAGAGACAGAGGGTGAGAGAGAGGATCCCAAGCAGGCTCCACACTGTCAGCTCAGAGCCCAAGGCAGGGCTTGAACCCACGGAGCCATGAGATTATGACCTGGGCCAAAACCAAGAGTCAGACACTCAACCAACTGAGCCACCTAGGTGCCCATTAATCATAATTTTTCTTTTTTTTTTTTTTAAGTGTATTTATTTTTGAGAGAGAAAGAGAAAGAGGGGAGAGGGGAGGGGAAGAGGGAGAGGGAGAGAGGACAGAAAAATCCCAGGCAGGCTCTGCACCATCAGCTCAGAGCCCAAGGTGAGGCTCAAACCCACGAACTGTGAGATTATGACCTGAGCCGAAACCACGAACGGGACACTTGACCAACTGAACCATCCAAGCACCCCATTAGTCATATTTTTAAAAGCCTACCTAGTTCTTTCTTTAGAGCCCAGACTGCTTTTTTGCTTTTTTTGGCCAATTATCTCATAATCTGTGTCTATTCATATAGGCTTTATTTAGTCTAAAGCAAAGTTGGAAAATACCAACAGCAGTGTTTACGCTAATATTATGTTAAGGATCTGGTGTACTCGTATGGGCAAGTGCCAGGGAATTCAAATTTCTCTCAGAAAAACAGGAAAGGAAAGAAAAAAGAATTGGGGCTGGAAGCTAGAACCTGCCGGTTTTGTTTACCTGTTCCATTCATTTAGTGTCCACCATTTTGGCACTCAGTAAAGTCAAAGAATATTTTTAATCAGAGCCTTGGAAAAACCTATTCGCAATGGTCCTAAAGAGATTTTTAAACCCAATTTCCTGGGGTCTTCTATTTGCTTAGTTGCATTCCAACGAAGTCATGATGATGGGGGGGGGAGGGGAAGATGTGTGGCCACAATGTAGCAAAATAGGAACAGAAACTAGAGTCAGCACCATTTCTTGGTTTGTTTCTTTTTTGGTGTAACTGGCAAGTTACTTACATGTCACACACTTCAGCTTCCTTATCTGTTAAATGAAAACAAACAAAGGGCACCTGGGTGGCTCAGTCAGTCGCGCATCAGACTACGGCTCCGGTCATGCTCTTGCGGTCTGTGAGTTCAAGCTCTGCGTCGGGCTCTGTGCTGACAGCTCAGAGCCTGGAGCCTGCTTCAGATTCTGTGTCTCCCTCTCTCTCTGCTCCTCCTCTGCTCATGCTCTGTGTCTCTCTCTCTGTCAAAAATAAATAAACGCTAAAACAGAATTTTTTTTTTAATGAAAACGAACAAAGCAACCCTGGGGATTTGTGTGGATTAAATAACATAATGTATATAAGGCCCCCAAGTACAGTGCCGGGCACATGGTAAATGCTCAAAACTTGTCAGAAAGCAAAGAAAAAAAGATTCTCCCAAAAGCCAACTGCCCAAAACAAAGCAAAACCCTCTGCTTTATTAGCACAGAATCGTCTGCTGAAACTCTGTTTCTGAAAGAGATTTTATAGTATCGATCTGGTGGCTTGCTTTTTTTTTTTTTTTTTAAGCTAGGGTTCTTCTAACAATATTATAAGGAAATTGATGTGTCAGAGACGTAAAAATGGAGCTGGGACTGGGTGGGGTGGAGAAGTGGGCAAATCTCTACCCCACCTGCCTTCCTTCTGTCCCTCCCCTGGAAGGCTCTCAGGCACCTGCCACTTTCTAGAACACAGTCTGAAAACCAAAGATCTGGTCCAGTCCCACAATTTCACCCATAAAGGCATGGCCCAGAAATGTGAAGTTGTTTTTTCAGTGGTAAGACCAGAGCGACAGCTGCATTCCTATCACTTTTCAGTATAGCACAGGGAGGAGGAATGGAGAGGACCCAAACACGTGGGGAGATTTGACAAAACTCTTGTCAAAGTTCAAAATATGTGAACTTTTTTTTTTTCCTCTAGTGGATGATAATCTTTTGGGTGGCCCGTTTCCGTTTTCATGTTTATTTTTGGACTGTTTTTCATGCCACTTAAAGCATTTCCTGTGTGGTTCCAGTACCTTCTATCAGCCTGAGGACAAATAGCAGCTGTGTATGTTTCCATGAAATTTGGCTAGAAACCACTTCACCCCCTTCTGCACTCTCTACCTTAGTCTTCTGTGTTCTCTTTTGATGCTAAATCAAATGCTATGATCTAAGTGTTTTCACATTCAGGGCATTTTACTTCAACCTTCTGACCAGAGTGTTCTTTCAGGCACATTAGCACAGGACAGAAATGTAAACACGAAGCTGACCCACTGAAAGCTTGAAGTCCATGTATTTTCTTTTGGAGATAAGGCTGTGCTCCTACAAACAACCTTGGACTTAATTTGGAAAAGAAAAAAGATATAACACAGTTTATGACTCTGCTGTGCCATATTTCCAAATGCAGCTAGTTTCCTGTTAGGTTACTCATGTGTCTTTATGCTCTTGTGGAACGCTTGACGTCTTTTCCTTTACTTCCCCAAATGAAGAACGTTGAAGGGGGGTGGGGGAGGGTGCAGGATTTTTATTTTTATTTTAAGTAGGCTTCACGGCCAGCGCAGAGCCCAAAGCGGGGCCTGAACTCAGGACCCTGAGATCAAGACTCAGACGCTTCATTCACAGAACCACCAGGGGACTCCATGGGGTTCTTAATCCTCATGAGAGATGACCCAGGGTCACCTCGCGCACACTTACGGTTACTTGTGCCGTCTGCGTCCCCTGGACTGGTGACCCCACGAGAGCAGCAGCGTGTTTTTAAAGCTCTCTTGAAGGTCTCCTCCACACCCAGCTTACTACCTAGCTCAGAGCTGGCGCTCGAAAAACATTTATGGAATGATTCCAAGAGACATCCTAGATGTTAATCGGGAACATTAAAAACTCCATCATTTAGACACCTATACGAGAGGAAAATCCATAGTGTGATAGTATTCTACTGGTTTGAAATATATATATGATTAAATAAAAGAGTACTGTTAAAATGAAACAAAAAGACCCCTTGTAGGAACTATAGCTTTCAATTTCTAGGTCAAGGGAGCTAGACTGGAATGAATGCAGTAACAAATGCATGTAAAAATAGTAACTAATATTGCGGCACCTGGGTGGCTCAGTCAGTTAAGTGTCAGACCGCGGCTCGGGTCGTGATTCAAGCCCCCTGGGTTCAAGCCCGGCGTAGGGCTCTGTGCTGACAGCGCAGAGCCTGGAGCCTGCTTTGGATTCTGTGTCTCCCTCTCTCTCTCTGCCTCTCCCCCAATTGTCTCTCAAAAATGAATAAAAGTTAACAAATTTAAAAAAAATAGTAGCTAATATTGACTGAGCATGTACTATATTCCAGATATGATGCTGAGAGCTCTCTGTCACGGATCTTGTGCAATCCTCATAATAGTCCTATGAGGCCGGCTATTGTTATCCTCATTTTCCAGCTATGGATTAAATGGCTGGCCCACAGCGGTGGTGGGATTTGAACCCAGGCGGTACAGCTGGAGAGCCCACATAACTGTCAAATGCCCGATTGAATGAATGAAATGCATATGGAGGGAAACATGCTCTCACCACAGTAAAAACGCTACAGACTCCCCAGTTCTCGGTTCTTCTGACGAGAGTTGAAGGCTCTGATGTCCTAACTTCTCTGAGTTTTAGAGAAAGTTGGGAGGAAAGATAAGAAAAAGCCATTAGAGTGTTCACTGTTTTTCTTCTTGTCCCGATCTGACAGAGCAACTTCTAAATCTCTAATTTATAGTCTATATAATTTATGGTCTAATTTAATTTTACTAACAATTTATATCTCTGGGGATTTCCCGGATAGTCCCCGATGGGTTTTTACCACCCAGCGCGAGGATGTTAAAGGCCAACGTTATTCCCACCAGGATGGATGGTAAACTGAGGCATAAGGAGGCCAAGTCACTTGCCCAAGGTCATGTCAGTCACCAGAGGGGGCAGTGAGCCCAGGCCTTCTGAATCCCAGCTCAGTCCCCCGCCCGCGGGCGGCAGGGTGTCAAGTCCATTGCTTAGTCTCCAGTCTCATGAAAACGAAGATCAGCTGTCTTGTTCTCTTTTAGGTCTGTGGATGGCTCCTGGAAGATCGTGATTTTCTCCGGAGGAAATACTGTTGCCCTGGGCTGCTTTCCTGCCATACCGTCTCCCGAGTTGACCATGAGCCAGCCAGACTCTGCCTGTCCCCCTGACCCCAGCTCTGCACCCCTGTGTGTGGTGTGTGGCCAAGCCCACTCCCCTGAGGAAAACCACTTCTACACCTATGCGGAAGATGTGGACGATGACCTCGTGTGCCACATCTGCCTGCAGGCTTTGCTGGACCCTCTGGACACTCCCTGTGGACACACCTATTGCACGCTCTGCCTCACCAGCTTCCTGGTGGAGAAGGACTTCTGCCCCGTGGATCGTAAGCCTGTGGTGCTGCAGCATTGCAAGAAGTCCAGCATCCTGGTCAACAAGCTTCTCAACAAGCTGCTGGTGACCTGCCCGTTCCCGGAGTACTGCACCGAGGTCCTGCAGCGCTGTGATCTCGAGCAGCACTTTCAGACAAGGTAGGGCCTCCCTGGTTGGCCGGCTCCGAGCAGCCCTCCCTCCCGGGGACAGCTGGCCTCCCCTGCCTCCCAAGAGCAGAGCCGTCCTCGGGGCCGGGTGCTCCGCGAGATGCCGTTTCTCTGTCTTCTTTTTTTGCAGCCAGGGCAAGCATCCGCTCAAAGGAAACCTCTTAGGTGTTTATAACCGTGGTTCAGTGTGAGAGAACAGCCCGTGATAGAGTTGGGTTGTGCAGGTGTGTGTGTGTGTGGTGGGGGGCGGGGGGGGGGGGGGAGACTGTTTTCTCGTGGTAACATATGCATGACATTCGCCATTTTAACCAGTTTTAAGAGTACGGTTCAGTGGCATTTAAGTGCATTCACACAGTTGTGCAGCCATCACCACAATCCATTACCAGAACTTTGCTCACCTTCCAGAATCGAAACCGTACCTATTAACCCCAGATTCGCCATTCCCTCCTGTCCGGCCCCTGATGACCACCATGCTGCTTTCTGTCTCGATGCATCTGACTGCTCTGGGAGCCTAAGAGAAGAGGAATCGTACGATATTTGTCCTTTTGTGGACTGGCTTGTTTCATATGGGTGCGTTCTGAAGTGTCAGACATCCTGGAAAGGTCTGATGAGCAGCTTTCTCTGAGGCTCGTGGCCCCCAGAAGATTTCCTGATGGGCATTGCTTACCTTTTCACATCAGAAAAAAAATGTCTCCCAGTTTGGTCCATGATTCTTAAGATTTCTTCTGTATGGGAATTGACAAAGCCCACTGTTCTTTAAGGAGATGTGAGGTATTGCCAACTGACTTTTAAAAGGAGAAACGTACAGGGGCGCCTGGGTGGCTCAGTCGGTTAAGCGTCCGACTTGGGCTCAGGTCATGATCTCGCGGTCCGTGAGTTCGAGCCCCGCATCGGGCTCTGTGCTGCCAGCTCGGAGCCTGGAGCCTGCTTCGGATTCTGTGTCTCCCTCTCTCTCTGCCCCTCCCCTGCTCACGCTCTCTTTCTCTCTCTCTCTCTCTCTCTCTCTCAAAAATGAATAAACATTGAAAAAAATAAGAATATAAAGGAGAAATATAGAAAACTTCTGTCTTCCAGAGAATTTCTGCTAAATTTTCAGCCAGGGTACACACCAGTGGCAGAGCGATGGTGTGACCGCCCCTGCTGGTGGCAAGCAGCAGGTCCACTCCACTTACCTGCCTCTCATTGTGTCCACTTACATTGTCACATTCCTGGGCATTCCTGTGCAGATGGCCTCAGGGCAGCCCCGGGTCTTGCTCCGCAATGAGGTGCTCAGAACATTTCAGGTGGTTACGGGAGGATGAACAGTAATACCACAATTATTTTGTATGAGGAAATTTGGAAGCTGGTGTTTATCTTGGTTCCTTGGTCATGACGAGGGCAAGAGGTAGGTGCCGGTGTTTTTTTCGAAAGGTCACATACTTGAGGTTGTGAATCTGAGTGTTTTTCAGGACAGGCAGATTCTCTAACATAGAAGTTTGCATCAAGGGGGGGCACCTGGGTGGCTCAGTCGGTTAAGTGTTCGACATCAGCTCAGATCATGATCTCGCGGTTTGTGAGTTCGAGCCCCGTGTCGGGCTCTATGCTGACAGCTCAGAGCCTGGAGCCCGCTTCGGATTCTGTCTCCTCTCTCTCTGCCCCTCCCTGCTCCCACTCTCTCTCTCTCTCTCTCTCCCAAAAATAAATAAACATTAAAAAAAAAAAAAAAAGTTTGCATCCAGGGCAATGGCCTGGGTGTGATGCTTAGCACTTGGTTTCCATGCTAATTATGTCAGCAAACTCACTTTTCTTCCCAACACGTTGAGTGAAAGACATCTAACTCGGGTTTGCGGGTTGCCTCTGACCCTCTGTTGTTGCCATCTATTGTTGTGGCCTCTGTGGTTGGCATCTGAACTAGGGTGCCCTTCTCATTGCCCAGAAGGAGGTGTGGCCAGAGGAGAAGAGGGTGAGGGGGTCTATTTGGGACCTTTGCTGGAAGTTTGACCCGGGGAGGAGAGGCCCTGTCTGGAGGGAAGGGGTCTGGGGTAGGTCAAAGTGAGGCAGATGCTGACAGATGCTGGCACAGAGCCAGGGGCCAAGGCTGGGGTCATACTGGCTGAGGGAGGTGAGAAGCGGTGGAGAAAAGGGAGAGCTCCCTCTACACATCACATTCCCATGCTCCCGACATTTGCACCCCCTACCTTTGTGTTTGAGAGCTGTATGGGTTTCCTATCGCTGCTGTAACAAGTGATCACCAACCCAGGGGCTTCAAGCCACGCGAATGTCTTATCTTAAGGTTCTGAGAGCCAGAAGTCCAGTGAGAGGTGCATTGGACTGACATCAGGTCAGAGAGGGCCAATTCTCTCTGGTTCTAGGAGAGAATCCCCTCCCTTGCCTTGCCTAGCTTCTGGAGGCTGCCTGCCTTCCCTGACCTGTGGCCTCATTCCCTACCTTCAAAGTCAGCAGTGTGGAATCTTCCAGTCTCTCTGCCTGCCTGTCTCTGCCTTTTGTCTCTTTCTCTCTCTCTCTGTGTCTCTTTCTTTCTGTCGATCTCTTTGTCTCTCTCTCTCTCTCTGTCTCTCTCTCCCTTTCTCTCTCCCCCCTCTCCTCTTTCTTTCCCTTTCTTTCTTTCTTTCTTTCTTTCTTTCTTTCTTTCTTTCTTTCTTTCTTTCTTTCTTTTTCTTTCTTTCTCCCTTTCCCTCTCTCTCCCTCTTTCTTGCTTGCTTGCTTTCTGCCTCTCTCTCTCTCTCTCTCTCCCCATCTCCTCTTTCTGTCTGTCTGTCTGTCTGCCTGCCTCTCGCTCCTCTGCTTCCATCATCACATCTCCCTCTGTGGCTTTGGACTTCCTGCTTCCCTCTTCCAAGGACACTTGGCGACTACATTGGGCCCAGCTGGATAATCTACAATCATTTCTTCACCTGAAGATCCTTAAGTTAGTCAAATCTACAAAGTCCCTTTTGCCATGTTAAGGTAACATGTCCCCGGGTTCTGAGGATTGGGAGACGGCCGTCTGTGGGGAGAGGCCTTGTTCTGCCCCCCATGGGGGCTCCACAGGGGAGGGGTAAGAGAGTGGAGAGAGAAGGAAGGAAATGGAGGTGGTCTCTTGAAGGAACATGAACACACAGCAGCTCTTCCTCACCTCCTCATCAAGAACCGGTTTGGGGCCAAGAGTACCCCCAAAACTCGGGGTGAGATGGCGTATGGATGGGAGGGTGAGTTCACAACGGAAGTGGGGCAGCAGAAGGGCTGGGAAGGGGCAGTTGGGTCCTACGGGGCCTCCGGGAGCCCCTCAGCTGCCCAGACCGGGAATGGCCTTCACCTGCCCACACAGGCCGTGTGGCCCCCACACCACAAGAAGCCCAGGAAAAGGTCTGGACGAACCCTAAGCCGATAATGCTATGCAGGTTGGAAAACAACAGGAGGAAAGAACGCAAAACTAATTGAAATCACCTCTTCACACGGAGGCCTCAGAGTTTTTCACAGGCAGCCATCTGCAGCTCCCTAGGGAGAGGAAAACTCCCATGTGAGGGAGGTGAGGGCCTCAACACCCATTCTTGATCTTCCCCCACACGTCGGCTCCCTAAGTAGGTTGAAACCAACGTTTCCAAAAATATGTTGTATATATTAGTCATCAAATGCTTAATATACACTTCCGCCCCTCCCGCCCTCTGGCCGTCTGATTGGCAAGGATTCGAAACTTGGAGCTCATCCAGGACTTGACTCTGGAGCCCTGTTAGGCGTTGGGCCAGCAACTGGGCTAGTGGACTATCTCTTCCTCTCCTCAGAAGGGATATTAAGATTAAGTCATTACTACTCTGGAGTCCTCCCCCCCACTTTTAAAATTTTTTTTAATGTTTATTTATTTTTGAGAGAGACAGACAGAGTGCGAGCCGGGGAGGGGCAGAGAGAGAGGGAGACCAGAATCGGAAGCAGGCCCCAGGCTCTGAGCTGGCAGCACAGAGCCCCACGCGGGGCTCAAACTCACGAACCGTGAGATCATGACCTGCGCCGCAATGGGACGCTTAACCTGCTGAGCCACCCAGGCGCCCCTGGAGTGAGTCCCTTTAATTGGGAAAAACCAAGAGGTGACCAGGAAGCAAATGTTTTCCTTACATTTCCATAGGAGACCTCCAGGTTGGTGGCTGTAGCTGCTTCACACATTGGTCCTAGAAGATAGCTTTGTTTATCAATTTTGCATCTCAATTTCAAGATTTCACACGCAATGAGTTTTAAAAAATATTATTTGGCCTGTGGTGTTGTAATGAATATTAACGAGGCGGGCTCAGATCCTACCTGGTACGGAGAACTTAACTATAAATCTGGTTGAGGATTGCCGTCTGACAGATGTGGACCCACACATTCCCTTCCAGCGGGTCCCAGCATGCTAACAGTCCCAGGCTTCATGGGCGAATCGAGACTTAGGTTTCTCTACCTACAAAATGGGCATTTATTTCAATTAGCTCCTTGAACACAAAGCTCTTCAGAAATGAGTCACATTTAGAATGTCACCATTGTCCCTCCAGAAAAGAAGATATGGTAGAGAAATACTTCCAAATACTTCCCCTCCCACCCCGTCCCCCTCCCCCCCACCCGAGCTGAGGTCTCTGTTCATGACCTGTCCAGAGGACCACTAATAATAGCAGGTGACCTGAGTCAGGAATGCAGGCAGGCAGCATCATGTCTTTAAACAAACGCTGCCTGCTTTCTCCAAAATTCGTGTCCTTTGTAAACATTATTATCCAGCCGCTTCAGACCCCGAGTTGAATGTAAACCCTCAAGTAAAACATTTAGGATTGACTGTGGTTGTACACGGTTGCCTGCACCAGTAACTCCTTGGACAGCTGTTCCTGACTTCAGACGAGAGGGTTCTTCCATGAGAGTAAGCCCGAACCTGTGAGCTAATGTCTGGAATCTTCGGGCTAATTCCGTTGACCTCTGTCCTCTTAGACGCTTGCAGACTCCCCTCGCATGGGTCTGCTGCAAAGAATTCCCCCGCGGGTGGTATAGGCTTATGT